GGAGGGAGAGGGAGAGAGACAGACAGAAACATCAATGATGAGAGAGAATCACTGATTGGCTGCCTCCTCTAAGCCCCCTACTGGGGATTGAGCCTGAAAACAGGGCATGTGCCCTGACCAGGAATTGAACCATGACCTCCTGGTTATGGGTTGACACTCAACCACTGAATCACACCATCTGGGTGAGTATCCTTCTTTTAAACGATGTCATTCGAGTCTTTCCTATCTGAACAATTCTGGTGGTATGTTTGCTTTTTAAGAAATGTTTAGCTCACAGTATTTGGGTCTTTTGGCTCTTACCGTGTAAAATGCTTGCTCTCTTCATGAACCTCCATCTCTGAGCTTTTAAATTCATTTAATTCTTTTCTGATGGCAGCCTGTGGAGAAAAAGTGAAAATGTTTCAGCATTTTCTGTCTGCTATAGTATAGCAGTGGGATTTGCCATCTAGTCTCTATTGTACTTAACTTTGTGAGTCCTTGTAACCCTCAGCAGGCAACCCAGAGGGAAGAAAGAAGCCAGGGCAACACATAGGGTGAAACACTGAGCCAATAGCCACTGCCTTCCTTGATACCAATCATCTCATAATAAACTTATAATCTCAGTGAAATCAAAACACTTGGGGAGTTTAAAAGAGATACTATAACTTTTATAGTATCCACGCATGTAAAAATGCTTTTCCTGTTTAAAAAGTGAAATATAGTAATTACTAAAATATGCTCCCAGACTCTCTCCAACCAACATAATCACCATTAAAAATATGTCTTATTTCCTTCCAGATTTCTGTACTGGGATGTAACAGGGCCTTTCTTCCAGTTTTGGTGGTGGTGGTGGTATCATTAATATAAAGTTTTGTATTTTGTAGCTTCGATTACAAATTTAACATTATTATTAAAAATAGAAATTTTGTTTATGTTTTCCTTTCCAGTTAGTGTTTTGCATAAAGAGAGAAAGAGAGACAGACCTTGTCAGCAGGGGTCAGTTTGGTCCAAGGTTTGTCTGCTCGCCGGTCATAATCTTGAGCATCTGTTACCTCCACATATTCATTAAACCTCAGAATCTTCCTGGCAAGGAGTTCGGCCACAGTCGGCCTTTGACTTAGCTGAAAGAAATGGAGCCTCTTAGTTGACTATGCCAAGTCAGGCATCAATCATGCATTCAAATTGCCTCTAATCCAGTGGTTCACCCTTCGCTGTACACTGGAGTCACATAGGGACCTTCAAACACTACTGATGCCTGGGTCCATCCCTAGAGATTCTGGGTATTGATACTGTGTGTTTTTTTAAATCCTCACCTGAGGATATTTTTCATTGATTTTTAGAGAGAGTAGAAGGGAAGGTGTGACCCATCGATTGAGAGAAACATTGATGTGAGGGAGACACATTGACTGGTTGCCTCCCAAATGAGCCCTGACCAGGGCAGGGATCGACCTGCAACGTAGGTATATGGCCTTGACTGGAACTGAACCTGGGATCCTTCAGTCCATGGGCCGATGCTCTACACACTGAGCTAAACAGGATAGGATGAGAGGTTTTTAAAAAATATATTTTTTTATTGATTCAGAGAGGAAGGGAGAGGGAGAGATAGATAATCACTGATCGGCTGCTTCCCGGGGATGAGCGGGTAACCCGGGCGTGCCCCGACTGGGAATGGAACTGTGACCTTCTGGTTCATAGGTCAATGCTCAACCATTGAGCCACACTGGCCGGGGGAGAGGTTTTTTTTTAAAGCTCCTGAATGCACAGCTAAGCTTGAAAACCACTGCTATAAACAAGTGTAAAGTATAACTAGTGCTTCTCAAACTTTAACATGCATACAAAACACTTGGGGGTCTGGTTAAAATGTGGATTCTGAATAAGCAGGTCTGGCAGGGCCTTAGATTCTCCATCTCTTACAAGGTCCTGGGTAATGCCAATGCTGTTGGTCCATGGGCCGTGTTTTGAGAAGCAAAAGGATTAGGGCTATAAACTCATATATAATACATTAGAAAGTGAATATATTTAATATGAAAACAATATCTAGTGGGTAATATTAAGGGTGAATTTCTTTTCAACATGAACAATGTCCAGGACAGCGGATTCTGCAACACATTATGATTTAAGATTGCACCATCAGGTGACCTGCACAATCTGAAGGCAGCGAGTCAGTCAAGCTGTGGCCTCTAGCTACCCTTATTCTATCAAAGATACTTCCTCTAATCTGGGGGAGGGAAGAAATGAGGAAGAAAATGTCTAGATCCCCTCATTCTCTTGTGGATTATTATGTTTAAGAAATATCTAGAGCACTCAGACCAAATCAGAATCTACAGGAGGCAATTACAAACCATTATGGTGAGAAGAAAAGGAAAACAGGTATTAATCCTAGAGCAGTGGTTCTCAACCTTCTGGCCCTTTAAATACAGTTCCTCATGTTGTGACCCAACCATAAAATTATTTTCGTTGCTACTTCATAACTGTAATGTTGCTACTGTTATGAATTGTAATGTAAATATCTGATATGCAGGATGGTCTTAGGTGACCCCTGTGAAAGGGTCGTTCGATCGCCAAAGGGGTCGCGACCCACAGGTTGAGAACCGCTGGCCTAGAGCTTTAGAGCTAATAACACACGTCTGGTACAGAAAAGATTCTACCCTAACTGATCTGGGACCAAGGAAAAAATCCTAGTTAGTTTTTCATGCTTTTCAGATATCAATAAGGGTCAGTTCATTCTTTCCCATATTAGAAAATAGCCAGTTTGCCTTGCAGAATTGAATGTTACACAATCCTGTTACCATCTCTATACTTAAACAGGTTTTAGAATCTACATCAAAATCCCAGGTCTACCAAATAAAAGGTAAAATTTCATGCATGTACTGAGCACCTTCTTATGCCAGGCTTTCTTTAAATAGTAAAAGTGAAGGGAAAAAAAAGCTCTTGATAATGCTGTGTTGTTTTCTGTATTTGCATCACATATTCTATTTTCATAGCAACCTATGGCAATTCAAGTCAAGTGATTTCTTTCCAATCAATAAGGTTATTCAAATATAAGACATGCACTCAGGAGACAGACAGAAACCGAACACTGGGCAATGTACCTTTCTAGTGAGCCGACGTTTAATCTCCCGTTTTTCTGCCTGACGATCAGCTTCGTTTTTAGCTACAGTTGACAGTCAGAAACAAAAAAGATTACTTCACAATGGCAACCTGCATATCAAGCTTTTCACTAATTATAGTGCAGGTATTTCTTACAGACTCCAAGTCAGAATAAAACATGAATTTTGGGGAGGCTAACCAAGACAATTTTCTTGTCAACTGGTAGTCTAATACTCAAGAGCAAGGGTAGCAAACTATGGTACCAAGTCCGGATAGTAGCCTATATTTTTACTGCCCGTGAGCTGAGATTGATTTTTAAAAATATCTTTCCCCCCCACTGTGCTTTATTTTATTTTAAGGTTAACTTCTACCTCTGTGTTAAATATGTTTTTACTCGTTTTTAGAGAGAGGTAGGGAAAGAGAGAGAGAGAAACACTGATGAGAGAGAAACATCAATCAGCTGCCTCCTGCACACCCCCCACCGGGGATTGAGCTCGAAACTCAGGCATGTACCGTGAGAATCGAACCAGTGACCTCTTGGTGCCTGGGTCGACGCTCAACCACCGAACCACACTGGCCGAGTTGGTTTTTTCACATTTTTAAGTGATTATATTTGAATGGTTTGATAAGTACCTAAATAATAGCTTCCTTTTATTTTGGCCTGCAAATCTGAAATTATTTACTCTGTGTCCTTTAAAAAAATCTTTGCATCCCTGGTCAGTGTGGCTCTTTTGGTTGAGCCAACGAAAGGTTGCCTGTTCGAATCCTGGTCAGGTTGTGGGCTCGATCCCTGATAGGTGGCCATCAATGTTTCACTCTCACAGTGATGTTTCTCTCTCTCTCTCCCCCCACCCCCCGCCTCTCTAAACATCGATAAAAAATCTTAAAAAAAAAAAGAATCTTCAAAAACAACAAAAACCCCTTTTCAGATTCTTGCTCAATGGTAACCACTTAGAAGGGAGATCACACTAAGTTTTGTGTGCTAGGTTTGTAAAGACTCCCACACTTTAAAATAAATCTGACCTAGATTAGAATGCTATTTCAGGAAGTTAATTATGTATGGGGGGGGGGAGATAAATACATGGTCCTATTTTGTGACTTTAGAGATATGAAAGTCTAAAGAGATGAAAAAGGCAGCGAGTCTGCTGCCCTTGGAGTTGCTTTGGGCCCCAGCCCTTAGATTCCACTAGGAACAGGAAGGCCCCTCCAGCTGCACAGCCACTATTTTGCTTCCTTGAAGAAAGGGAAAAGTTGGGCAGCGTCTACCACGCACTGTGAAATCCTCCCAAGTGCCCAAGGCAGTCAGTCTCAAGATACTGTGAGAACATTAAAATTTTCTGTAGCATCCCAGTTCACTAAGCAATACTATTATGTTATCTTGGAAAGAAAGTTTGGGGAACTCTGTTCCTTCAGGGGAAAAGCTATGAAAAGTCCTTCCTTGGCGGGAACACTCTCTCCTTGGCCCTTGCAGAAAATGCTTCTCTTCTCTGTTATATATATTAAAGTCGGAAATATATACAGAAAATCTATACAACTTTATTTTTATAACTGGACTCACGTTGTAGTATATTTCGTTGTTCAAGTTCTTCTGGTGTTGGTCTTTGACTCAGTCGTCTAAAAAGAGATAAATAAGAATATTATCTATGTTAAACCTCTCAATCCTGTTTATAAAGACCTGTTTTGGTCTTAGTTTATATTAGTCCCTACACTGGCAAGAAATCAATAAAATCTCAAATTGTTTTGATATTTCATTTGTTTATCTGATTCACTATTTATGAAACAAGTTTCACATTGAAAGTGTTCATACAGATGTTACAACATAAAAAGGAATTGTATGTATAAACAGGAGGCCAGAATTCTAGTTCTAGCTCTGACATCAACAAGCCCTAACACTATGAAAAAGCTCAGTCAGACTCTGAATGTACTCATCTGTAAAATGAATGTTTGGACTGGACTGGTGGCTCCCAAACAGATTTGCTCCTTCAGCAAATCTGTTAATAACACAGATCCTCCAGGCATATTAAAAATTTTGATTCAGGCCGAACCGGTTTGGCTCAGTGGATGGAGCGTCGGTCTGCGGACTCAGGGGTCCCGGGTTTGATTCCGGTCAAGGGCATGTACCCTGGTTGCGGGCACATCCCCAGTGGGGGGCGTGCAGGAGGCAGCTGATTGATCTCTCTCATCGATGTTTCTGGCTCTCTATCCCTCTCCCTTCTTCTCTGTAAAAAATCAATAAAATATATTTAAAAAAAATTTTTGATTCAGGAAACCAGGATAAGGACTGAGATTTTATTTTATTTTTATTTTTTTTAATTATTATTTTTTAAATATATTTTATTGATTTTTTACAGAGAGGAAGGGAGAGAGATAGAGAGTTAGAAACATTGATGAGAGAGAAACATCGATCAACCGCCTCCTGCACATCTCCTACTGGGGATGTGCCGGCAACCAAGGTACATGCCCTTGACCGGAATCGAACCTGGGACCTTTCAGTCCTCAGGCCGACACTCTATCCACTGAGCCAAACCGGTTTCGGCAGGACATATTTTAAAATAAGGTCCTCTCTATCAAATATTTTATGAAGTTTCTCATTACCCACAGTTCTGAGATGTTACCAATGATGTATCATTTTTGGAATCAGAAAATTATTCATTTATTACCATCTATATATATGTAAAACCCTAATATGCAAATAGACCAAACAGCAAACAACCGAACAGCCGGTTGCTATGATGTGTGCTGACCACCATGGGGCGCACGTGGAACATGGTGGGCGTTGGCCGCAGTGCGATGGTGGAGCAGGTGAGTGGGGGAGCCAGACCAAGGCGGGGTGCCCGTTGCTGTCATGGGGGCGAGCCTGTGGTGGTCACTGAAAATTCTTTGCTCCCGCATGCCGTGGTCCTGCCAGGCACTCGCACCCGCTGCTGGTGCTGGCCCCACTCGCACCCGCAGCCAGTGCTGGAGCCGCCACTCACACTTGCTGCCAGTGCTCAGCGCCGGTCTCAATTGCTTGGTGCCATCAGCAGGTGCGAGCAGCAGCTGCCAGCCCCGATCGTCCCTGAGGGCTTCTCCACCTCCCCCTGCTCCTGCTGCTGGCGCTGGCCCCAATCTCTCTGCTCTGTCAGTGCATGGGAGTGGCGACGGCGGCAGGAGCGGGGCTGCCAGCAGACAGGAGACCAGGGGCCACAGTGGGAGGGGCCGGGCGGGGGTGCGGAGGATGGGCCAAGACCCGCCCCTGTGCCCACCACAGCCTCTCGGCCCACAGTTCCTTTCAAGGTGCACAAATTCATGCACTGGGCTCCTAGTTAACTTATAATTCTCAGACAGTCTTTGAACTACATGCTAATAACTATTTTTTTAAAGTATTTTTATTGATTTCAGAGAGGAAGGGAGAGGAAGAGAGAGATAGAAACATCAATGATGAGAGAGAATCATTGATCGGCTGCCTCCGGCACATTGGGGATCAAGCCTGCAACCAGGCATATACCCTGACTGGGAATTGAACCATGACCTCCTGGTTCCTAGGTCAACACTCAACCACTGAGCCACGAAGCTGGGCAAAGATCCCCATTTTAAACTAATTCCTAATTTTGATGGTCTCTTGGTGACAATCAGAGGGCCACAGTTTTGCATTAAGAGTGCCATCCTGGCCAACAGCACAACAGGTGTGTAAGATAGGAGAGGAGAATATGTTTTAGTTAATGAACATCCTTAATTACTTTGTAAGTAATGTGTCACCAGTTCCATCTCCTTTTCCTCATTCTATCAAGAGATACATATGAGTTGGGAAAATACCTGTCTATATACCTGGACTCTAATGTGTATTATATGTGCAGGTAATTGGCCTGCATTCAGTTTCTCTATGCTTTGGGTTCCAGCTGACTTGAAAAATATAGTAACATAATGAAAAAATATGTACACTAACACTTTGAAAGGAGGCAGTTACATGGAACATGTGTAATAGATATAATAAAAAATGTGGGTGTGCTCTTTAATTGGGCTGGCATCTCATGCTTGAGCAACTGGATAAATGACAGAGGAGTCTCGCTATTCTGGGAACCACCTGAATTCTCTAAAACTTAAAACAACAACAAAACGTATCTTATGGTTTAATTGCCAAGTTCTTAGAGAATACTCAACTGGGCACAATAGGGTTTTTTTGTTTGTTTGTTTTTAGAATATATTTTTATTGATTTCAGAGAGAGGAAAGGAGGAGAGAGAGAGATAAAAACATCAATGATGAGAGAGAATCATCGATCAGCTGCCTCCCGCACACCCCACACTGGGGACTGAGCCCGAACCCAGGCATGTGCTCTGACCAGGAATCTAACCATGACCTCCTGGTTCATAGGTCGAAGCTCAACCACTGAGCCATGCCAGCCAGGCCACAATAGGTATTTTAAAAATATACTATTTCTAAAATTAAAAAACAAACAAACCAGTAACAAAAAGATAAATGAAGCTTCACCACAAAATAAGTCTCCAACATACATACTGTCCTAATCAAATCAAATCAAAGTATTCTAACCAGTGGGCCTACCGGATCAGTGTGTTCCCAATCTGGTGCCGTATTTCATTCCACTCCTCTTTGCTTTTGCGAGGCCAAGAATTCAAGTTCAACTCTGGTTCACTGGGTCTGTGATTCAACTTCATTGCCAGTGTGTCTTTCCTCTTCACTTTGTTGGCCAGAGCACCTTTGCACAAGAAAAGAAAATGTTGAAGCTTAAGGCTCAACCTCACCTGCTTGAGCTTCAGGCAAGAGTCTGAACAAATAATATCCTATCTCCCAGCTTCCTACGTGGCCTCCAATCGTCCAGCTAACAAAGAGGTGGGGGTAAAGCTAAGAAGACATCTAAAAATCTCAGCCAGATGGCCTCAGATGGGCTAAAGATATCTTCTCCCTTCTACCAGTCCTCTATACTTTCATCCCTAACAAGAATTGCTATAGGAGACAATCTAAGCATGGGACAGCCCTCTGAATTATAACAGAAAGTATTCACACTACACACCTCATAAAATTCCTATCTTAAGGCTGTTCTCTCACTTCAGGATTCCATTATTAAAAACAGATGAAAAACTGAAGGATGCAATCTACTGGGCTCCCGCTCACCGGCTTGTTGTAACAATGGCAATATCAGAGACAAGAGTTCCTCATAAGCCAACATCAGGGAGTCAGATGACTCATGGGAGAAGGTGCCTGTTTCCATTAATTTTTCACTTGCTAAGACCAGCCAGTAGCTTTAACTATAAAAGAATTTTCTCTTTTGCTTTCCCGCCTTTTCTTACTGTTCTGGCTTTCATCTTCATCCTCTTCGTCTCGGTACTGAATGGGACCTTCTGAGTCTGAGTCGCTCTCCTTCTCTTCCTCTTCCTCCTGCAGACACTGCGGGAGTTTAGGAGTGACTGAGGTAGGAGGCATATCTTCACTGAATGCAGATGGGTGGGTTTGCTCCTCTTCTTCATCATCTGGACTAAAAAATTCACATAATTACATAACCTTTCAGGAAGGTTAAGGAACATACAATACAAGCTAGTAAGTAAGAGGTAGAGCTGGGATTTGAACCCAGAGCTAGCTTACGCCAAAATCCATGCTCTTAAGCACCATGTATCAAAAAATACAGGGGTTTCAATTTTCAAGTATAACAGTTTATAATTTTTATATCGTCATGAAATTGTCTGCTATGGAAACCATGTTATAGAAATCAGCAGGGTAAACAAAGTTCAAATTCTAGAACATGTCTTATTTGTTGAGTATTCTTTTTACTTTAAATTTATTCACACTTTCTCTTTATAAGTAATTTTTTTCCAAGAAGGGCTAACTAAAAAAGGAAAGTCAAGGAGAGGAAACCAGAGGCGAGCTTTAAGGCACTCACACTTTCAGCATTTCAATAGTGATGGGGAGTGACCTGGTACGACCCAGAGTATTGCTGTCCTCGGAAAAGTTGTCACTGTTCTCGAAGAGCAACGAATGAGCTCTGTGAGAGCCCTCCAAGGAGGAAGAGAGGGGAAGTGGGCTGGTCAGGGCCTGTTGGATTCGGATATGCAGTGGGAGTGGGGGCAGCCTAGAGGGTACATGGGGCTCCCCAAAGCTGTGGTCCAACATCCTCTTGGGTACTTCCTTCTTCTGGTCTTCCTGCTGGGAAACCTCCTGGGGAGGATCTAAAGAAGGTGCAAACTCAGTTTCTGGCACAACTTGAAAAGTCTTAGCAGGGAGTGGCGGGGTCCGTGGGGGCTCTGGCGGTATATGAGTGGGCAGTGGGGGGGATGGAGAGGGAGGCGGGATAAGCAGCAGCTGTTCGGAGCCCACAGAGCATGTGCTCTTCTCTCTTTGATCACTTGGTGCTTTTGTGGTGGTGGTGGCGGCGGCAGACTCCGAGGTGGGTACCAAGGTTGATGGAATGCCTCTCTTCGGTGGTAAGGGTGGGGATGGTTTAGATAATGTTCCACTGTTTACTGCCGGAAAAAGAGAGCAACATCTCACTATAAGATGGCTTTACAATGCTTTGAAGGGCCAGCCCAGGGCATAGAATTAGAGCTGAGCTGTCTTCACCTTTCAGGCAAAAAATTACATGTCATGCCTTTGCCATTCCCTAGATACCTCATTCTAAAACAAAATTACCCTTCAATATCTATGAGACCTTATAAATGTATAGAGGTATAGGAAGACCACTATCCTAATACTCTGATAAGAAAGTTTTACCAAAAAGAAACAAAAACAAAGAAATGTTTTAGTTTTTTAAAAAGAAATCGATGAGAGAGAGAGAGAGAGAGAGAGAGAGAGAGAGAGAGAGAGAGAGAAAGGGAGATATCAACTTATGATCAAACCCACAACCTGGGTATGTGCCCTAACTGGAAATTGAACCCACCACTTGGTGTATGAAATGATGCTCCAACCAACTGAGCCACACAGGCCAGGGTGGTAATCTGATGTTTTAATGTAATTTATCATAAGTGTGTGTGTGTGTGTGTGTGTGTGTGTGTATAAATATATTTTTATTGATTTCAGAAAAAAAGGGAGAGGGAGAGATAGAAACATCAATGATAAGAGAGAATCACTGATCGGCTGCCTCCCGCACAGCCCCCACCAGGGATCGAGCCTAGAACCTGGGCACGTGCCAGATCAGGAATCAAACCATGATTGAATCAATACTCAACCACTGAGGTACCTCGGCTGGGCTCATCGTAAGTATATTTTTAAAAGGACTTTCAGAAAAATAGCGCATACACATTAAAAAAAGGATTCAGCCCTAGCCAGTTTGGCTCAGTGGTCAGAGAGTCAGCCCTCAGACTGAAGGGTCATGGGTTTGATTCTAGTCAAGGGGACGTACCTTGGTTGTAGGCTCCATTCTGGGCCCTGGTTAAGGTGCATGCGAGAGGCAACCAATTGATGTCTCTCTCTCACATTGATGTTTCTCTCTCCCTCCCCCTCCCTTCCATTCCCTCTTAAAAAAAAAAAAATCAATGGGAAAAGTATCCTCGGCCCTGGCTGGTTTGGCTCAGTGGACAGAGAGTCAGCCTGCGGACTGAAGGGTCCTGGGCTTGATTCCAGTCAAGGGCACGTGCCTGGGTTGCGGGCTCGATCCCCAGTGTGGGGTGTGCAGGGGGCAGCTGATCAATGATTCTCTCTCATCATTGATGTTTCTACTGGTATCTCTCTCTCCCTTTCCCTTCCTCTCTGAAATCAATAAAAAAATAAATTAAAAAAAAGTATCCTCGGGTGAGGATTAACAACAAAAAGGATTAAGCCCTGGCCGGTTTGGCTCAGTGGATAGAGCATCAGCCTGTGGACTGAAGGGTCCCGGGTTTGATACCAGTCAAGGGCATATGCCTGGGTTTGGGCTCCATCCCCGGTAGGTGGCATGCAGGAGGCAGTCTGTCAATGATTCTCTCTCATCTTTGATGTTTCTCTCTCTCCCTCTCCTTCCTCTCTGAAATCAATAAAAATGAATTTTTTTAATAAAAAGGATTAAAAAAAATGTAAATCTTAAGATCAATGAAAGAGATACTTTTGGGTAGACTGGGCTATTGCTGCCTCTCTAAAAAACAGCAGTTGCTTACCCTGAAAAGAGTATACTACTGGTTTAGAGCAGTGGTTCTGGTCCCTGTATATGCAGCATCAGCATCACCTGGGAACTTCATAGAAATGCAAATTCTCAGGCCCTATTCCAGACTTACTGAACCGACTTTAAGTGCAGGGCCCAGCAATCTGTATTTTAACAACCTCTCCAGGCGACTGTGATGAGAACACCTGTCTAGACAACCATTTGCGAACATAGGTGTATAGAACAGGTCTGTACTCAAGAGTTGAAAAACCTATGTTTGATTTCTATCTTTCACTAACTGCAACCTTGAATGAGTCACAATTTCTTCTTGTTCTGCTTGCCCTAATTATGTAATAGATAAAATCAATTTCCTACTTCACAAGGAGATTTTGAAAATAAGTATATGAAAGCTTCTCAAATTCCTCAGAGATAAGTCAATCTAAGGTGGTGATAACATGATAATAATAATAACCTTCATCCTGTTTTTATCAAGCTACTCCAGCTTGTCATACAATAAATTCTAAGCCTGTTTTTCAAGGTTCTAGTCACCCCACACAACTTGATGGTTATTAGCCGTTTAACAAGCATATATATTTTTTAAATCCTCACCTGAGGACATGATTGGAGAGAGGAAGGGAGGGAAGGACGGAGGAAAGGAGGGAGTGAGAGGGAGAAACACTGATTGGCTACCTTCTGCATGTGCCCCAACCAGGGATCGAACCTACATCCCAGGTACGTGCCCTGACCGGGATCGAACCTGCAATCTTTCTGTGCACAGGACGACGAGACACTCCAGCGGACATACTTTTTACTCCTCCAATCATTAACAAAAACTTTAAGCAGTACTAAGCCTAGTATCATTTTTCCTGAAAAACTATCTTCCTTTTTCTCCTCCCTTTCTTGAAAATTCCTCTAAGAAGGTATGCATTTATATAAAGAAAACAGACCTAAAAAGGATTTAAGGTAAATATAAAAAATTTACTAAAACCAATTATCCTCCCTTTCTCTCTTCCACCACTGATTTTACTAAGAGTAGCATTTTTAACTCTCAAGATAAAACATGATTTTATCAGAACAATTTAAATAGTATCTTTTGCAGTTCCCCTTGAAGACATTATGCCAGATTTTGAACCACAAGTTACACTGGCATCTATACAATCATCTTCTCATCTACTGGGCTTATGCTGGAGGAATGCACTGGCAGTTTAAAGTAGGTTAAAATAAATCTTTTCTTCGTGATGGTCAAACCTGTTGTGATCTTCTCATGCCCAGTCCCCCAACTATAGATAGTATTCCAGAAACAGTTTTAGGAAAATAGATATGAATCCCCCACACCTGAACCTCATTTGAGTGGTTTCTGACTTCAGAAGCCTGTTGCCACTCATAGTCACCTGCCTCATTTTCAAGACTTTTCTATAGAGTGCATTCAAAGGGACAAGATATGGAAACTCCCTCACAGACCAAATCAATATGGGATCAGCTATCCTATAAAATAACCATCTAAAACCCAACCCAACCCAAAATGGCAACCTAAAGACTTACTTACCAATGACAGGGTTGCTATTTCTGTGAGTTGGTTTAGGGGGAGGAACAGGGGGCTGCTTGGCAGGGAGGCTGGGGGTAGCAGTAGTGTTAGTGCTGACAGGAGCAGCAGGAAAAGTCCTGGGTGCTGGGGTAGGGGGCACAGAGGCATTAATAACAGTTTTTGGTAGGTTTGTGGCGGCAGCAGTGGCAGCAGGTGCTGTGGTGGGGGCGGCGGTAGAAGTGGAGGAGATGGACCTTGCTGTGCTGCCAGAGCAAGTGGCATCCTTTGCTTGCCCTTCATTTGCTTCATGAGAAGAGGACAATGGTCTTTTAGGGGGAAGTAAAGGCTGTTTGGGTGCATTCTCAGGAACGAACTCTGCTTCAGAATTAGGCCGGCTTCCAGTTGAGCCTGTGTAATAACAGATATGATTTAAAAGGAGAGCGTAATAAGACAGACTCAAAAAGCTAACAATTTATAATCAACTTCACCCATTATTTAATTTATAGATGAATTGACAGGCAAGTTTCCCAACCTCAAAATACTTAAGGTAGATGATACTTTTTAAATCAGTAAGTGAGACTTATTATCGTAGTGATTTGTCATACAAGAGCCAGGAGGAGGCACATTCGATAGAATACCTTGGGTGGAGGAAGAAAAATGTGTACCTTAAAAATGTCCTACAGTTATCTGATATTTAACATCCTCCATCATTGAGAGTCACAAATATAGATACTTTGTGAATAAAAGAATGAGAAGGGGGAAATTCTACTTAAAGTTACAACTAGTTGGAGAATTGCTAGAGAGAATTCCCTCTGGGTTTTATTTCTCCCCTTGCTCTTGCAAACCCTTGAGGTAAATGAGAATGACCCATGGCTCTTTTTAAAATTTTTTTAAATTGATTTTTACAGAGAGAGGAAGGGAGAAGGAGAGATAAAGAGAAACATCGATGTACTGCCTCTACTGGGGATTGAGCCCGCTACCTGGGCATGTGCCCTGACCAGGAATTGAACCAGTGAGTGACCTTTTGGTTCATGGGTCGACACTCAACCACTGACATACTGGCCAGTCTCTCTCTCTCTCTCTCTCTCTCTCTCTCTCTCTCTCTCTCTCTCTCTCTCTCTTTTAAAATCCATGGCTCTTAAAACTAAAAAATCCAGTTTCTTACCTAGTTGCTTCTTTGGGTCCTCTTCTGGAACAGGTTTTCCAAGACTTGCTATTCTTTCTGGCTCTTCCTCTACTGGGACTGGAATAGAAGATCTGGCATCCCCAATGGGGGTGGTGTGGCCATTCTTTAACATGGCATGGTTCAACTTCCCTGGATCCTCACCATCTGCAAGGTCCAAACAGAAAGGGCAAACTGATGAAACTGGCATGGTCATCTTATCCCATTTCCTCTTCCTTTTAGTTTATCATTTAGATCTAGGTTGTTATTATTATTGCTAAAGGCCCGGTGCATGAAATTCGTGCACGGGGGCGGGTGTCCGTCAGCCTGACCTGCACCGTCTCCAATCCGGGACCCTCTGCCTGCCTGCCTGATTGCCCCTAACTACCTCTGCCTGCCTGCCTGCCTGATCACCCATAACTGCTCCCCTGCCGGCCCTGATCACCCCTAACTGCTCTCCCCTGCAGGCCTGATAGCCCCTAACTGCCTCTGCCTCGGCCCCCGCCACCATGGCTTTGTCCAGAAGGACATCTGGAAGACATCCGGTCTAATTAGCATATTACCCTTTTATTAGTATAGATTTTTATTATTATTTGGATCCTTATAGTAGTGGAAATTAAGTAATTCCTTTTTAAAATAGACATTTGATTGCCTATTATGTGCCAGCTGCATTGCTATATGAATAAGACAGACATATTATACATGTAATTACAGTATTAAACATTAAGAACTATAATGGATGAAGTGGTAAGAATAAAGAAGAAATAATGATCCTGTGGTGGGAGTGGGGTTAGGAAAGCTTCACAGAAAGTGATAGCTAAACTTGGTCTTAAAGGAAGGATAGGAACCTAGTAGACCAGCCGTGGGCAAACTACGGCCCGCGGGCCGGATCCGGCCTGTTTGAAATGAATAAAACTTTAAAAAAAAAAAAGACCGTACCCTTTTATGTAATGACTAGAGGCCCAGTGCACAAAAATTTGTGCACTTGGGGTGAAGGGGTCCCTCAGCCCAGCCTGTGCCCTCTCCCAGTCTGGGATCCCTCGGGGGATGTCCACCTGCTGGCATAGGCCCGCTCCCTGGGGGATCGGGCCTAAGCTGGCAGTCAGACATCCCTCTGTGAGCCCGGGAGCCCTTGGGGGATGTCCACGTGCCAGCGGGGAGTAGGACTAAGCTGCAGTTGGACATCCTTAGCGCTGCTGAGGAGGAAGGAGAGGCTCTCGCCACCACCGCTGTGCTGGCAGCCATCAGCCTGGCTTGTGGATGAGCAGAGTTCCCCCTGTGGGAGCACACTGACCACCAAGGGGCAGCTTCTGCATTGAGCGTCTGCCCCCTGGTGGTCAGTATGTGTCATAGTGACCAGTCATTCCCAGTCTTTCTGCTGTTAGGCTCAATTTGCATATTACCCTTTTATTATATAGGATGTTTACTTTGAATTTATATTAGTTCACACAAACACTCCATCCATGCTTTTGTTCCGGCCCTCCGGTCCAGTTTAAGAACCCATTGTGGCCCTCGAGTCAAAAAGTTTGCCCACCCCTGTACTAGACTGATAATGAGACAGATTCTTTAATGTATCTAGGAAGAAGGAACAGCATGTAGAAAGATGTGAAATTATTTGACATTTTTGGGAACTGGCAACTAAAGTCTGGCAGTAGAATAGATGCATATAAGGGAAAGTTATGTATAGGACTGGGGAGGCAAGCAAGAGCCAGGCTATGAAAGATACCAAACATCATGTAAAAGAGCCCGGACTGAATCCTGTAGGTAACAGGAAGCTAATGAATTAGAGTAGGAGAGAGATCTGATCTGACCTACCTTTTAGAAGGTTAACTCAGAGCTGTGAGGAGGATGGATTGCACAGTGATTGAACAGGAAAACAATTAATGAGCGACTGTTAGAATATATAGGTGAGAAGTAGCAGAGGGTGCCTGTGTGTATTATGGGTCAAGAGCAAGGGGTAGAACTGACAGATGCATCAGAGGTAAATATGAAATACAAACTAAACTGCAGGAATCATCACTAGGCTGAAGGCTTTGGGATGACCACTCATCACTATAAAGATTGTAGGTAAGATTCCTTCACGGAGCAATTAGACAAACATTCCCAGCTACTGCTAAGGTTTTTCTATACTCCTTTGGAGGAGAAAACTAAAAACAAAAAAAAACACACCACACCTGAGGCTGGAGACTAAAAACTCTGTCTCAGCTGCTAGTGTGCTGACTGGAACTAGATGCTTTCTAAATGGTGCCCTTTATTAGACAGTGTTATTCTCCATGCAGGCTAAATAAGAGGTGGAGTTTGGGCTAAAAGTAGTGAAGAGACTAAGGCAAATGAGCCCCGAATAAAAATGTACTTCTAAAAAAAAAATGTACTTCTAAAGCTGAGATTCTGACAACTACTTTATTTTTTAAAAAATGGGGAGTGGCAAGAGCACAACAATTATGCAAATGTAGTAAGTTACTACTTATGTTAATTCAGACCAGCGTTAACAAAAACAGGTCTTTCTGGAATATAGAGCAATGAATCATTTCAGTGCCAACATAGACTGCTACTTTTGAAAGCAATATAGTGACAGGTTAAGACACATTTATTAATTGGTTTCTACTCAGCACATATTAGTAAAATATATGTAAAAGCAATCAGTTCTCTCCCAAGTTACTTAATCAGGATTGCCTACTTTTAAGTAAAATTTCTTATATTTAGGGTTTCTGCAATGCTAGCAGAATGAAGCAGAAGTAGTATTTGGCTTTAATGCCTCTGAATGGCCTCCCTCTCAGAAAATCTATTAAGTATTTTAAAATATAGTCAAGTCAAAACCATAATCAAGCCAAATGCCATATTCAAGTATGAAAAGAGCTTTAAGGTTCAAACACTGCTTTGGGGCTAAACTGGCTATATGTCAGGCCCTGAGGTCCATCTCTGAGTTTCTTCTTACAGAATAAAGCTTAGGTCAGTTTTGTGATTGGCATAATGGCATCTTGTCCAATGGCTGCAATTCATTCATCAATTGGGCCTTTGAGCTCCTAGGCAAAAACAACTTTGAACCAGAGCCAATAGGAAGCAGAGGGAAAAAGAGACTGAATGAAGGTGAAAACCTGGCTGGTGTAGATCAGTGGTTAGAGTGTCGCCCCCACACACTGAAGGGTCTTGGGTTTGATTCCCAGTTCCAAGGGAGGCAACCAATCAATGTGTCTCTCTTATATCAATGTTTTGATTTCTCTCTCTCTCTCTCTCTCTCTCTCCTCTCCCTCTCCTTCTCCCTTTCCCCCTTCCACTCTCTAAAACTCAATGGGGCCCTGGCTGGTTTGGCTCAGTGGATAGAGCGTCGGCCTGCGGACTGAGGGTTCTTGGGTTCAGTTCCGGTCAAGGGCACATGCCTGGGTTGCAGGCTTGATCCCCAGTAGTGGGCGTGCAGGAGGCAGCTGATCAATGATTCTCTTTCATCATTGATGTTTCTGTCTCTCCTTCTCTCCTTTCCTCTCTGAAATGAATAAAAATATATTAAAAAAATAAATAAAACTCAATGGGAAAAGTATCCTTGGGTGAGGATTAACAAAAAACAAACAATAAAAATAAGAAAGAAGTAATGTACAGGGTTTTGTGGTGAGTGAGCAAGAAAGGTGAGATGCATGGAGTGAGGAATGGCTACTATAAAAAAAACAAGGGCCAAAGGTGCTGCAACTGAGGGGTTAGAATTTTAGTTAAACACCTACAGACCTGGAAGATTTTGTGTCCTACTGTAAAAACAAGCAGATGCATGATAAAACAAAAACTACATGTGCTCATAACTAACCATGTAGAAAATTCATAAAAATAGAAAGAAAAAAAATTATTCCCATCTCATCACCCAGAGGTAACCAATGCTAATAGTATTTTCCCTTCAAGCTTCTTTCCTCTGCTTACTTTTTAAAAAAATATATTTTTATTGATTTTAGAGAGGAAGGGAGAGGGAGAGAGAGAGAGACAGAAACATCAATGATGAGAGAGAATCATTGATTGGCTGCCTTCCACATGCCCCACACTGAGGATTGAGCCCACAACCCAGGCATGTACCCCGACTGGGATTCGATCCATGACCTCCTGGTTTATAGGTTGACGCTCAATCACTGAGCCATACCAACTGGGCCTCTGCTTACTTTTTATAAGGTTGAAATAATAAATCTTCAATATACACAATTTAATTAAATTGTGTGAATAAGCAATACATTCACACAGTTCAAAACCTAAAAAGTATAATATGCCATCAGTTTGGCTCCTTTCTCCTATTATCCAAAGGATATGGTATATTTTAAAAACTTGGTTTTCAGATTTTTGTCTCATAAAAAGTAACTCTAATGAAGAGAAATAAAATGCAACCACTGTACTATATAGTCTTAACTCTTAAGTTGCTTTGTAAAAGTCAGACATTGGAGAAAGTCTTGACATTATTAAACCAGCAATGAGTGTTGAAATACCAAAACATGATCTTTACGACAGACTAAGATTAGAGTAGCAATATGGGCATAAGACAAATTTGGTCAAAAAAAAAGTAGAAGAAAGAGAGAGAGATAGATAGATAAAGAGAGGAAAGAAAAAAAGAGAGGAAGAAAGGGAGAAAAGGAAAAGAAAGAGAAAGAAAAAGAGAGAGAGAGAGAGGAAGGAAGGAAGGAAGGAAGGAAGGAAGGAAGGAAGGAAGGAAGGGAGGGAGGGAGGGAGGGAGGGAGGAAGGAAGAGCTGGAGTGCAGCTGGCACAGAGAATGTGTGCTCCAACGATCCTTCACTCAATTTCAGAGGTAAAGATCACAGTCAGATAATTTAGACATGGACTGAAAGGTGAATAGTTGCCCTCTACCCCTGCCAGAAAATGGACTTTAATGAAAGAAATTAGGAGGTAATTATTAGAATAAAATAATTTTATACTTATACCCCTAATTTGACATTTTGTCCAAAAAAACCCCACAAAACCCAAACACTCCGTTATTCTCACTTACTAGTATGTTTTAATCTTTCATTTATTAGATATTTTCATTCCCACAAAAATATATGCCTTCCTTAAATAAATCAAAAATAGGTGAAATGGCATTAATTCTATAAAAATATCTTATAAATACTTAATTTTTTCATCATTATGTATAATATCAGTAGAGAAAAATGCATAGAACATAAATGTAAATTTCAATGAAATACTACAAGGAGAACACTTGTATGATCATCATGGACATTAAGAAATGTTTCCAGACCCCAGAAACCTCCTTTTCTGCCTAGTAACAGTCCTTTCCTTTTCCCACAAAGCAATCACCCTCCTAACTGTGACAATCCTTTGTTTTTCTAATTATAGTTTAACCAGTTAAACGCACATCTCCAAACTCTATAGTTTAATACTGCCTATTTTTCCTTTACATTTACAGAAATAATACAACATATTTTTTCATAACTGACTTAATTGCTCAATATTACTTGAGATTGATATTATAGCATTGTAGGTGTAGTTTATTTTTATTTTTAAAAATATATTTTATTGAATTTTTATAGAGAGGGAGAGGGATAGAGAGAAACATCGATCAGCTACCTCCTGCACACCCCCTCCTGGGGATGTGCCCGCAACCAAGGTACATGCCCTTGACTGGAATCGAACCTGGGACCCTTCAGTCCACAGGCCGACGCTCTATCCGCTGAGCCAAACTGGTTAGGGTAGGTGTAGTTTATTTTCATTGCTGTGTAAGTATTTTATTTTATAAATGTATCACGTTATATTTTACTATTATAGGCATTTGGGTTGTTTCCAATTTTGCTCTATTGTTAGTAAATACTGCTGCTACAAGTATATTTGTACATATCTTGATATACATGCATACACATTTTTGTTGGACATATGCAAAGTTCTGGACATACCTGCACATAGGTTTATATATATCCAGCTTTCACAGATTCTTTAGTGAATTCAATGCTTTTGCAGACTTTCCTATTGAGTTTTTTTTTTCTTTTTTAATGGACATTTAAAAAAACATATTCTAGATGTATGAATAGTTTTTGTTTTGTTTTTAAAGTTGATCCCCCACCCACATCAATGGCAAAAGAATGAAAGAAAATTCAAATACTAGTCAGAACCAAAGACCAAGCATACAGACAGGCATATACCATTGGTGTGCAAACTCACCCTGTTCAGAGTCTTCCAACAGAACCCCTCTTTTAACCAGCTCTTCTCTTGGTTTTCGCATAGATATTTTTCGCTCTAAAACTAACATTAAATTGGAAAATAGCACTCAGAAATGTGGCCGTTAAAGGTTAACTTTAAGCATTCTAACTCCACAGGTAAAAGTATAAAGTGGTTCAATTTTCTAGTCTCTGGAAAGAAAAGAACAGGAAAACTACCCTTATAATAAAAAACTTAATTTTTTCATATGCTGTGTTATTAGAAAAATAGTATTTCCAAAAAGGAACTATCCTTATATAATTTTATCTTTTTTAATTAAAATTTCAATGATAAGGTATTTATGAATATACTTTCTCTGGGAGGAAGTGGCCAGAGTAGAAAAAAAGAAGCATCTAAGATTTGCTATAGTTTGGAAACTCCATTTACCACTTGATAAACTTTAGTCCCATCAATATTTCAACTTGGGAATGAGGCTATAATATATAAGGTTTAGTGAGTAACCATTTGGTTTTTAATTCTAAACGATTCAATTCCCTCTTCAAATAGGGGTTATCAAAGCCTGGGAAAGGAATGAAAAAGTTAGGTAACTTCCAAAATAAGGACCTCTTTAACTCAGAACATATATCTAAATCTTTATTTTTTCACATATATATTTTTATTGTTGGTAGTATTACAGATGTCTCCCATTTCCCTCCCCCCTTTATCCCCCTCCTCCCAGTCCCTCCCCCTCTCCCCCCAGGTCATCACCACCCTATTGCCCATGTCCATGGGCTATGCATATAAGTATGTAAATTTTAATATCTCACCTTCTGATGTCTCTTTGAATTTATCACTACTTTTTTTTTTCCGCCATTTCCAGGGCTTGAAGATCTTGCCAAAGCCTGAGAACTTGCTCTTCCTTTTGGTGGGAGGCGTCATGTCTCCTCCTGCTTCCACACTGTCCATGATCATGCCTGGGTCGGCAGTGGGCTGGCCTGCTTCTTCTGTTGCATGGTGAGAGGGAAGAGAATAGCCAATTCGTTATTTCGGCATAATCTTGAAATTGTCCCTGCCCCTTTCTTCCTGTTGTAGTTGGAAAGGATCACAGCAATGATAAACAATCATGCAGAGACAGACTCCTTGACATCACATAGACACCAAACATCAAAATCCATGATAGATAAACTACTGAGGAGGAAAACGCGAACCAAACCAAGTTGACATCATTTTAGGACAAAAATTCAATGAGATGATTATAACCAGCTCAAAATCTCTTAAAGGCACACACACAAATGTGGATGTCTTCCCAATAGGCATGAGATCTTGCCCCATGAAGCCTACTGTTGTTAGTCTTCTCATTCTTTTGGCATGGGGAAGGTCTTCCCCAGCTAACATACTATCTCCCCTGTCACTGAAGCAGGGAATTTCACCATTTGTGAGTGAGTCATTATTCTTTGTTAAACACTACCCTCTCCCTATCCTCCTCTTTCAGGACATAAATAGTTCAGAGAGGGGGTGACACATTAAGTGTTAACACCTTTCTTACATCTGTTTTTCAGATTGTATTCTGCCTTCACAAGACCCTAGGGAGTTCTGGAGCACTGTAAGGGGACTGAGGTGGGGGGGCAGGGGCATAGAAGGATAGTGGTTTAAAATGGAAGGATTTTTATTTTTATTTTTGTTGGGGGGGGGGAGTAGAGGTGAGGTGAAATTCCAGTTTGCTTATCACAATATTGTTTTAGGGACAACTCTGATTTTAAGGATTTCACGAGAAACATAACTGACATGATAAATGTACAGGATTGAAATGAAAGATCATAAATAAGTCCCTTATACTGACTATACATGCAGGGTTTAGTTAGGTAGCTTTAGTGGCAGAGAAAGGAGCAGCCAAGACTGGGCCAAGAATAATACTTTTAAAAAGCAGGAAGGCAACAAAAAAAAGCAGGAAGGCAACACAATATAGTTTTGCACTCCACCTACTGTCCCAGGGTTCTCTGGAGAAGTCTAGAGGAGAAGAAAAAAAGAGAGTCATGTGGAATAACAGTCCTGAAATTAAAGTGGAACCTTTACTTCATAGAAATATATCAAGGACCACATACTGTATTATCACATGTAATAAGTAAATATGTTTATTGTAAAAAAAGTTTCCATCTGGAGTAAATAACATTTTTGGGGGGGATATAAAAGGACATAACTTCACTAAAACTCATTTTTAATACTGTAGATATATTTTCATAAGAGAAAAGATACAATCAACATGCATTAATTTTTTTAAAAACAGTATCAAAATCAGTATTTTTCTAATCGATAGATGTGAGTCTAGGAAAGTCCACTGATGAAGGTCAGATTTCCATAACCGTAATTACTAGAGTGACTATAGCAATGGCTGCTGATGCATTATTTTGATGTATCCAGATGACAGGGCCAAATAGGGTCCTAGTCACTGAAGTACAGCAGATCAAGAGGACGGAGGACAGGGACTCTTTTCTTCCCAGCGGCATGATTTAGTTATGGGCATCCTGGGTCTCAACTACTTTAACTCCCATATGAAATGCAGTGGAATCTGATTGTAAAAGTGGACCATATTTTAAAAAGTGTCGTTGCCAGAGACATTAGAACTCCTGTCATAACAATTCCCCCTCAATGGTACCCTGAGATGAACCCCCAAGAGTGAACACATGGTATTGCTTTCAAGAGTTAGTGCTTTAACTAAGACAATATTCTCCCAATTATGGAATGTCAATCAGACCTCAACATAGCATAATATTTAACATATGTTAATGTAACCCTTTCAGAATAGAGCTAAGTAACATAAACTTATCATTCTCAAATTGTAACCTTACTTGCAGAGGGAAGGAGGGACTAAAATTTTAAATATCCTAACTGAATAAACTTCTAAAAGACACATAGGAAAATGCTTGTTTACTTAAGAGTAATGGGGTAGATTTAAAAAAAGACAACCCAACCACAAAAACACACACAAAAAAACACCCAGACTAATAATACTTAAAAAAATGGTTATTAGTAGTATTTGATGCTTTTACAAAAGAAAAGAACCACGAAAGCTTTAGAAATGTTAGATGCTAATATCTTCACAAAAAAGTCCCTGTCTGTAAAGTCCTTAACTGAAATATAGCCAATCTAGCCTGCTCCCACTGTCTTCTCAAATATCTAATCATTTCTAAAGTGGAACTTAGTTCAATCCAATTTAATTCTTCATTATGTTGAACAATATATTTATGTCTCCCTTTTCTCTTAAATATTAAAACAATAAAATCATGATATCCTTTTAAATATATTTATGCCTGCTAGCATATAAACTAAAAACAAGTGCTGTTTATATAAAAAAGTATAGCGTGTGTGGAAAATACCAACAGTTTATGATTAAAAAAATGAATGTGTCCACTATTACATCTATTGCTAAGAAGAGCCCTCCTCTTTCTTTATATAAAGAAAGTCATTGAGCCCTAGCTGGTTTGGCTCAGTGGTTAGAGTGTTGGCCTGTGGACTCAAGAGTCCCGGGTTCAATTCCGGTCAAGGGCACATGTCCAGGTTGCAGGCTCAATCCTCAGTAGGTGGCATGTAGGTGGCAGCCAATCAATGATTCGCTCTCATCGTTGATGTTTCTTTCCCTCTCTCTCTCTTTCTCTCTCCCCTCTCCCTTCCTCTCTGAAGTCAATAAAAAAATATTTTTTAAAAAGTCACTGAATATAGTCAGTAAAAAGAATATTTTTTCCTTTGATGCTTTATGCAAATGTACTTAATTTTAATGTTTATGTAACTTTTACAAGTGGATATGCCTCTTGCCTCATGCAGTGGGGTTCAGCCATACCCAACCCTGAACTAGTTATTAGTCCAAATGTATTCATTCATATTCTTATATTCTCATATTCTTTTCACTCCACCTCCCTCTTCTCCCTATGACAAGCAGAACATTATTTCAGTGACTCCCAAATCTGTTCAAATACTTTGGAATCAGCCCAGTTACCATTTCAAAATACAGAATCTCTGGAAGGTGGGACCTAGAAATCTGTTTTTTTTTTAATATATATATTTATTGATTTCAGAGAGGAAGGGAGAGGGAGAGAAAGAGAAACATGATGAGAGGGAGAATCATTAATTGGCTGCCCTCTGCACGCCCCCTACTGGGAATGGAGCCCACAACCCGGGCATGTGCCCTTGGCCGGAACTGAACCTGGGACCCTTTAGTCCGCAGTCCGATGCTCTATCTACTGAGCCAAACCGGCTAGGGCTGTTTTCTTTTCTTTTCAATATATTTTTATTGCTTTCAGAGAGGAAGGGAGAGGGAGAGATAGAAATATCAATGATGAGAGAGAATCATTGATCGGCTGCCTCCTGCATGCCCCCTACTGGGGATCTAGCCCACAACCTGGGCATGTATCCTTGACTAGAATCGAACCCGAGACCCTTCAGTCTGCAGGTTGATTATCTATCCACTGAGCCAAACCGGCCAGGACTAGACATCTGTTTTTAAAAGTCTTCACAGGTGCTCCACGGGTGTGGCTCAGTGGATTGAGCATCATCCTGTGCACCAAAAGGTAACCTGTTCGAGTCCGGGTCGCGGGCCTGATCCCCAATAGGGGAGGGGATGCAGGAGGCATCTGATTGATGTTTCTCTCTCTCTCTCTTTCCCTCCCTCTCTTGCTAAAATCAATAAAACATATTTTTTAAAAATATCTTCACAAGTGATTCTTATGATCACACAGGTTTGTTAAACCCAATCCCAGATTGTTATCTAGAAACCTGATACATGTTAAAAGAGACAGAGACAAACGTTCTCTGCCTGCCTGTAACCTAATACATTGTTGATGAAAAATGAACTAGAAAACCATGGCATCGTTCCAGTGTTTCTTACTCATATACAATATTCCTACAGGATTGTGAGGGGCACCCTGAGTTTCTTAGTTTCAGATATAGTTTAAATTAAAAATAAACAATATAGTCCTGACTGGTGTGGCTCAGTTGGCTGGGTGTTGTCCCTTGCACCAAAAGGTTGCTGATTGGATTCCCGGTTAGGGCACATGCCCAGATTTCCGGCTTGATCCCAGGTACAAGACAAGCAGGTTTCACTCTCACATCAATGTCTCTTTCTCTCTTCTCTCTCTCTCTCCCTTCCTTTCTCTCTAAAAATCAATAAACACATTAAAAAAATCAATATAAAAGTTTGCAGTTATTTTAACATAGTATGTCCCATGTGCACTTGGAAAGAAAGTGTACTGTGCAATTACTGAGTGAGTGTTCTATACACGCCAATTAGGTCAAGTTGGGTAATCATCGTGCATAAATAATATCCTTCTGATTTGTTGTCAGCTTACTCTATCAGTTACTGAGAGAAGTATGTTAACATCTCTACCAATGAGAGTGGATTTGTCTCTTCTTCTTTTTAGTTCTATTAATTTTTGCTTGATATACTTTAAAGCTATGTTATTAGGTATATACAAATTTAGAGTTATATCTTCCTGTTGAATAGATCCATTTATCATGAAATGCCCCATATCACTCTAATAACACTTTTGCCTTGATTTTGTTTTTCTATTTAGTTTGACAATTGTTGTCTTTTAGAGTTTAATCCATTTATAGTTAATGTATTTACTGACACAATTGGGCTTAAGTCTACCATTTTGCTCTATTTTCTATTTGTCTTGCTCTGTGCATTCATTGTTTTAAAATTGATTTTAAAGAGAGGAAGGGGGAAGGAAAGGAGTGAAGAGAGAGAGAGAGAGAGGGAACATTAATTTGTTGTTCCGTTTATTTATGCATTCATTGGTTGCTTCTTTGGCATATTGAACACTGAGCATAGGGGATGATGCTCTAATAAACTGATTTACTCGGCCAGGGCCTGTTCATTCTTAACTGGTTACCATCTACATTAAGTTAGTATGTTTACTACTTATTGCAAGAATTTTACAACATTTAAACTCTATTTGCTCTTTGTGTAAATACTCATGTTTTACTACATATACATAACAATAAAACAGAAATTATTGTTGTTTTAACAAACAATATTATTTTATATTTCCTACATATTTGCTTTTTTAGATACTCTTCATTTCTTTCTG